TTTTTTTTTTTTTTGTTCACGAGAGACCATTTATTCGCTTTGTCGTGTCGCAATTTGCTGAACACCATTCAAATGCCGTTCTCATATTTGAAATTATTTTTCGTTTCCGCGAAAGTTACGCAACCAATCTCGTAAAAGCTTAATATAACCGCGATTCTGGTTGCCGCGAGACGCCATAGCGCCGCTCGCGCACGAGACGAGGATCTACAAGAGGATCTACGAATATCGATCCCGCCGACATCGGTACGATCGCCTAATAGTATCGACTAATTAGTAATTACTAATAGCACATTTGGCGGTCTGACGAAAGTCCAATTTGCGATTGCACGACCGCGCGGGCGATCGGTTACATTGCCTCCATTCTGCGTCCCGTTCCCGATTATCGATCTTCGGGTTGCTCCAGCGGGAGGAGAGGGGTGGGGGAGGGAAGGGAAGGGGCTGATTGTTAGATCGCTGCCAATTTCCTCGTCATCTGCTCGTCACGGAATACGGAATACAAATCGAATGACGGCACTTCTGCGCGAGCTATCGCGACCGCGTACCGTACCCGCAGCGTACCCGGAGCGATAATTCGTTTCGATAACTCGAGATATTATGTGATTGAACAACTGGCTTTATCGGGCGGAACCAGACGCCAGTGTGTGGATCGGGCGTATCGTCGTTGCAACATTGTTTATATCCCGCGACCGGCGGGGACGGCCAACATTGTTGTATATCAACGCGCCAACGTTACCGAGCGTATCTACCATTGCGGGAGAGGGAGGGGGGAGGGGGGGGGGGGAAGAATTAATATTCCGATTATATCATTTAAAGCGGGAGCTAAAGCGGGAGATGACGACAATTTGTAACTATTGTACGGCCGGCTGTTATTGCTTTCACGTTACACGAGCGTTACGGCACATTACAAATGACCGAATGCCGATTGTGGCCATTGTAGACTATTGACCGCTGTCGGAAACTGCTTGTGCTGCTCTGAAACTTCACTTGTGAAAACGGTAACTGCGTAATATTATCTTCGTTGGAATAGCAGCTCGTTGGAAAGACAGTTTGTGGGGAAGTAATAACGTAGAATTATTTATTAAGCCGGCTAGATGTGGTCGTTATTGTTGCGTTCAGAACGCATTCCCGCTTGGGATCGCAACGCACAACGTGGAGTTTCTTAACGCAAGTTACAAATTGAATGAGCGTCCGTAGGACGCGGACCAATGAACGGAAAGATCGATTACAACGATACCTTCGCTCGTAAGCACTTTATTTAAGTCAACGAATTTAATTTCTATTATGTTGAAAACATGATCGCCAATGATTTTATGCCGGAAATAAAAAATACGGAGAATGTGCTTAATTATAGTAAACGGTCTTAATAACCTCGGATTAATGTCGAAATATTTAAATTTTAATTAATGAAGATGCTACATCGTTATATTTCATTATTTTATTAAATTAATTATTTTAATTAAGAGATAAATAAATTTAACACTACGTACGAGGCTTGCCCCATTATGTGCGTATGCGTGTTTAAATTTGAGAAAATTATCTCGGATTTCATAAGCCAATGAATTATTGTGAAAAGATTAATTTGCCATTCAATTTCAGCTCTGCAATGTGAGAAACGTCGCAATATCATTAGCGGCGCTCTCCTTATCTATTCAACGTGGAACGCGAAGAGGAAAGAAAGACATATAATAAACCGTAGCGAGTCCTACCTGCAACGTTTTTGCGGTCGCGACATCGTACGTCGGTGGTGGCGACGTCATAGACGGAATAGTGGAATAAAGAAGCTGCGATCTGCTCTGCGAACTCGGCCGACTCGTCCCGATCTCGTTCACGCTCGTGTTCGGCGTGTCCGGTATGGTGGCGTACAGCGCTTCCGGTATGGTGTTCTCACGAATTCCACCGCCGAGGACACTCGAGCCCGAATCTGCGGAGTGTCATCGAGAGTAAAAAAGATGCAATTGTTTTTTTTTTTTTTTTTATCCTTTTTCCTTTTAACCATTAATCCGAGACGTGAAAAGCGTTTGCACAAATTCTTTTAGTATTAACAAAATCCATGCTCGATACGCGGACTGACCGATGTAGGTGTAATGCGACTCGGCTCTGTCCGCGCTTCGAGTCCTCCGCGAGTGGGTGAGCCGCTTCTCCTGCTTGTTGCTCTTCATCGTGGCTCTCGTGGATTCCGCCACCGAGCTGCTGCTTCCGGTCTCGCTCGACGTCGGGGTCTTCGGTACCCGGCCGTTATCGTACTGCTTCCGTGAGCTCTTGTTCTCCAACTTGTTGCCCTTCATCTTGGGCAAGTGAATGGTCAGCTTTCCCAGTACGACGTTTCGCGACTTCGGTAAGTCCGTAACGACCACGCCACAAGCGCACACGGACTCGTTCTCGTTAGGCATCCTGGAAGAAGTTAGGCGATATTTAAAGAGATCCATTCTTGCGGAGCAAAGAGGATTAATATATGTAAAAATGTTAATAAATCAAACGCGTTCGGAAAAGAGCCGTAAGTCGGTCTTGGTTGGCTCCTGCGGAGGAATATAGCGCGGATTTATTAAAGTCACGCGGAAATAATATTCCGCAGCTAGACAGCGTCTACGATATATCGGAATAAAATTTATAACGAAATCTCGAAGTATTCATTCCTTTCGAGGATCTCGCTTTAACGCGCCGCCACGCGCGAAGCGACGCGAAAACTTGATTTATGTATATTAAAAAATTATACAGTTTCATAAATAACGTAAATCATTGGGACTTGGGGCGAGACGCTGAGATTCCGTGACAGTCCCTTGCAATCCGTTACAGCCGGCGCGCATACTACGCTCTGCTAAACAACGTTATCGACCTCGTGCGCCGCGCGCCATTATTAACGATCCTATAATGGCCCTTAATTGGAATCACTTCGTAACGTTTATTCGCAATAGCGGCCCGCTCAGCCTCGGCTCTCGCGTGACAAACGCGATTACGCCAGCGCGGGACGTATTCGCCGGGGTAAAAAGAGCGTAGCGAAAAACTTTTAACGCACGAGATTCGATTGACAAATTAGATTGTAGAAAATTCCGACGGGCGACCCTTTGATTCCTAGAACGCGCACACAGTTGGCTTAGTATCCATCCAAAGGAAATTACGGTGCACTGAAAAGAGAAAGAAATAATTAAAGACTCGAGTAGATCTCGACTTTGGAACGCGCAACGCGATCGTTGCCGCAAAGAATCGAGGGTATGCCTGTCATATTCCGCATGCGCATTTAGTTGGATCATCCGGCGCATGGAATTCTTAATATCGCGATTCAATTCAAACTTTTCGGAATAAATCATCGATCTGCCGAATCTGAGTGATGAGAATCAGAGCGGACGCTACCTCGATCCTTAGTCCATAGGAAGAAAGGAAAGAGAGAGAGAGAGAAAGAGAGAGAAGGAAAGAATAAAGTCGCCCCTTTTCATCTGACGTTTATCGAGCCGAAAGAAGAAAAGAAGGATGGTCCCTTAATTCTCAAGAAAATCTTATTCCCCGCACATTTGGAAAGTCACTTCTTAGAGAATGAAGTCAAGCCGGCTCGCGTCGGATCGCACAATCCCGATTTTATATCACCGAAATGAACAATGCTTCTGAATATCCTCGTTTCGGATTTCGTCCTCGAGCATTTTTATCCTCTCAAGATTAGAAAAGGACCGTCGCCTTCGCGCCTTTATTATCCCACCATCATTTCTTTCCTAAACCACTTTCAACGGAGTACTCGACTTAATCCCGTACTTTCATGCCGGACACCATCGATTATCATTCGAGAGAGTTTCGAGATCAAATAAGATATTTTGCAACACGCCTCCGTTCGTTAATAGCTAAATGAGGGGATTTATATAAATTCGATAAGGGTGGAACAGAGGTACGGAGAGCGATTACGACAAAAACGGAACGGAAAGCGTCGCGACGACGACAATCAGAGACAAATCACTTTGGGATTGACGGGGTAATTTTATCGCTATCATTTTGTATAATATAACAAGCCGCAGGCATGATGTAATAATAGACTCGCTTTGACATTCGAGGCGCGTGCAAACATCCCGAGAATGCGTTCGCGCCTAGCAAAGTGACGCCCTGAGATAATTTCGGTTCTCGCCCGGGTTCGGGCCGGGCGGGCCGAGAGGGACGAGCCACGAGGCCAGGACAGGGGAATCGCTACATGGAAATTGAATTACGTGCCCTGCTGCGAAATGAGCTGCCAGGGACCTTGGTTAGTTTCGACGACAAACTGCTCGCTACAGTACGCAGACTTGCCCATTACTCATCCCGCTGGTGAGACCCGTCGCGGAACTTCTTCCGTACCTGACTTTAGACATATATCCAGACTTCGTGTCCCAAAAGTACCGCTTATTCCGCTAGGACAACTTTTTAGAATAAAGCAAGAATATAGGAAGAGAGAAAGAGAGAGAGAGAGAGAGAGAGAGGAGGGGGGGGGGCAGAGAGAGAGAGTAGTATTTCATCAATCTTTTTTTTACAAACAGATCGAGTGACCAAGAGACTTTTTTAAGTATAACAAAGTTTACGCATTCGTCTCTTTTCCGCGAGTAAAAATTTCATAAATACCAATAAAGCTCGCGATATTTTCAAGCGCGTAACGCGACGTGCCGCTTTATTGCGAGATGCGTGGGCGATTTCGTGAGGGATATTTTCCCGTGTATACGTCGCGAATAATAAACGCCGCGTTATTGGTCTTACGACTCTGGAAAATTTATGGGTACCTTGTGTTTTTCTTCGTGTACGTGTGAAGATAAAATCCCCCCGTACGTAAAGGTGTTATATCGAACGATGGAATGAAACGTAACTGCCGACAGACATTGCGCTCCATCGTCCCTAACAAAGAATCGTTAATTGACGAACGACTTATCGATGAATGAGATCTTCGCGTTGCAAAATGCGGAAAATGAAAATGGGACGAGTCGATATTTATAATTAAAATCTTTGTCGAAAACATGTCAGCGAATGTAATCAAGTACATCGCTGCCAAATCATGTCTCCTTTCTGCTTCGAAGCAATATAACGTTTAATTACAAAGATCCGAGGGAGCGTCCTAGTTGCAATTAATGTCGCCGACATTTTCGATGCGGGTACGAGAATGACTCTTCCCAGCGGCGGTTATCGGGCTGCATTGATATCGACAGAGACGAGAAATGAGCTTTCGAGCGATAATTATTACAATGCCGAGGCACACAGTTTGTGCGAAGTGGCCAGCTGTGACTGTGTGAAAGGGCTAGAGAAATGGCTTTTCCCTCTCTCAGCTCGGTAGTATCAAATGAGGAAAATTCCAAGCGCAAATTAGAAAAGTTACACGGGATCGCCCGATCTTTGCGCCAAATACAAAATATGAAATTCTCTTATTACGCGAGAGAAAACACGGAATAAAAAGAAATACTATATAGGACTTGATATACGCAATTTAAACACGGCAAACGGTTCTTCCACGACTGACGTCAGAAATGAAAAAAGCATTAAGAAGCATAACAACGAGGTTCGCTCGAATCGAATATTTCATATTTCACGGTATATAAGTTTCTCGGTAGTCTCTCTTAAGTTTCTTAGTAAAATCTCAAACTATCTCCCATAGGGAAGCTCTCGCGATTTATCGTGGGGGCACAGGGCGCGGTACGTGTTTTGATTACCAGCTTGACATCAAGCTAAGGGTGCGCGATGAGAACAAATACGGGAATGAAACCGCGGCTTTCCCTTCGGGATTCTAGTCCCGCGCGATTCGCCTTACTTGCCTTTGGAAATTCTCGCGATTCCGCAAAGTGTAAACAGGAATCAGCGCGGAGGCAGCGTCTCCCTTTGATCCGCGCCGGAATTAATTCGTTACGATAGAGAGGATGGAAAATAACACGCAGCGCCAGGAACGTCGACGTTAATTAATTTTGTCGGGTATCTCCCACGAAACCTTTCATCTTTCGTGCTCGCTCGCATAGCCCGTCTTGTGCCGACGCCAAGCTATTAGCCTATCCTATAGTTAAAAAGCGATTAAATTACTCAAATGTTCGCAATATTTATAAATACCAACGCGCGAATGTAATGGTCCCGCGAAGAATGACGCGACTATGACTATATCACCGTGTGAAAAATTTTACACGGTTGCATAATTTACATTGTTATTTGCATGTTACATTGTTACGCCCCCGTAGTTTAGTTTACAACTTATTATTACACCCGTTCGCTGAATTATGTATCCTTACGCGGCTTCTCGCGCGGCTTCTCGTTCATTATGCGAAGAGAGAAAGAGCGTATCGCGGAATATTGGAATATTCATAAATCAACTGCGCGTTTTTTGCTTCATTTTGCGTCTTGCGGCGCCAAGGCGTTGGAGAGGATCTCTCCAGCTGCGCTTTCGAGCGACACTCGAGGCACCGCGCGCGAAGAAGAAGAAGAAGCGCGCATCCATCCGTGGACACGAGGAAGCCCGCGGTGTCTCCGTTCGTGAAAACCCTCCCGTCTCCCGTTGATGCCCGCGCAGGCATAAACGGTGGAAAGAATCACGTGCCCGTCGTGTTAATTAAAGCCCCGCGATGTGGTCTCCCGTAGAGCGGAGGCATCCTCGACGAGGAGGAGTCGCCGGCGGCTTTCGTAATTAATCCGGATGCACGGGCCGGAATTTGCCGAAGAAAATTCAACGCACGAATCCTCGCGCTCTTCGCATAATGAATACTTAACCCGTCGACACCGCGGACGGATATTGAAAAATTAGACGATCCTTCTTCTTTTT